AATATTTTATAATTATTTTATGCATTTTATCTAATTAAATTACCCACATGTAGTATATATTCTTATCCTTTTATCTTGTTACCAACAAACTTTAAACTTAGAACAGCAAAGTATTTTTTCTAAAACAATTATAGCAGCTTCCATAAGAAAAATAAAAATGATTACATAAAAGAAAATAAAAAAAACCTATAAAAAAAAATAAAAGAAAATTTAAAAAACTATATAATATTAGTCCTTTTGAGATTATAATTACAGACTTTTGAAATTATAATTACAGACTTCAATATAAAAATTACATTTTCATTCTTTGGAAAAAAAAATAACTTCTCTTTTACACTTTACGTAATCAAAAAGTAAAAGTACTTATTGTATTTGCTATCATCTTTTTACATTCGTGCAACAGGTTTTAAACCTAACAAAACAAAGCATTTCTCCAAAACAATAGCGGTAGCTTCTGTGAGTAAAAGACGTCCTATATGTACTTTTACAATTTCTCCAGCTTGATTCTTTTCCACACAATAGCATTTATCATAAAATTCTGTAAATGCGCATGAAATCTCATAACAAAATTCGCATAACGGATGCAAATACATATGTTCACTAATGTCAAGAACTATATCAGGAAACTTTAACAACACTTTGGCTAGTTTCCATTCTTTTTCGTGCTCCAATGAGATTGGAGTATCATGCGCGTGTTTCCGCAATTCGTCTTGCGTGACTTTCGCTGTTCTAGCAATAGAACGAATTCGAGTTAGAGCATACAATAAATATACAGCTGTATTGCCTTTATCTTCTAGCATTTTGTCGAATGAAAATACATATTCATGATTTCTGTTGTGCAACAAATCGGCATATTTTATGCAGCCATATGTCACGGATTCTTGAGCCGTTTTCAGTTCTTCTTTCGATAATATTTTATCGCGTTCTTTCTCTTTCAACTTTTGCAGTGTTCTCTTCAAACCTAAGTAAAATAACATAATAGTAAAATGAAATAATGATAAATATAAATTAAAAATAATGATACCATATTTGTAATTAAAAATGTTTTATTACCTTCGTCTAATAGCTCGATAAGTTTTACAGTATCACCAGATCGTGTTTTAAATTTCTTCTTATCTTCCCCTAAGACAACGCCGAAACCAACATGATTCATTCTATGGAAACTCTTTAAGATACCTGCCTTTTTAGCACAACTTTCTAACATTTGAAAATGCAAAGACTGGCCAGCATCTGTCACATATATCAACTGTAAAATTATAAAAATTTTGTTATAGAGTAATCTATTGAGATTCTAGATAGTAACATGTTTCACATTTACAGTATGAAACATGATACTTGCCCAATCTGCCCTTTCCTCTTCAATACGTTGTTTAATAGCAGCCATGTCTGATGTATCATATGTAAAACCGCCATCAGATTTTACTATAGTTAAAGGTATTCCAACACCATGTTTCTCTCCCCACATCACCTTTCGTCCGTTATCTTCTTCTAACAAATTTCTTGATTCTAACTCTTTGACTATTAATTCCATATGTTTTTGATAAAATGATTCACCTCTCTCTATTAATTTGATATCTAGTCGAGTATACACTTTCTCAAATTCTGTATCAAACAGAGGAATAATTATTTTAGAATGATTGTTTTCTTTCATAATCAAAACTACTGAACACAACTGATGTGAACTCTATTTACCTTGTCTAGATACATCACATATCATTTTCCATGCTTTTATTATATCGAGATCAAAAGTCTGTAATTTAACGACACATTCGTATGCACGTTTCTTGAATTCTTCATCTGAGTCAAATCTGATTTTAGATTCTTTATAAAAGGCCTGTATACAGATGTGCAAATATATAAATGATCAATACATTTGTTTTTAAAATAATTCTAACATTATCGCTAAAAATATTAAGCACAAAAATATGATTATATAGTTACCTGAAGATCTTGAATTGCAGGAGCAACAGTGGAATAATTGGGAAACTTATCTTGAAGATGGGCTATTAACATACCAAACTGTGTACCCCAGTCACCTATGTGATTGAGTCTCAACACATTGTGTCCTAAATATTCTAGTAGCTTTGAAATACTATCCCCAATTATAGTAGATCTTAAGTGTCCTACATGCATTTCCTTGGCAATGTTGGGACTGGAAAAATCCACAATTACCCTTTTCTTCTTGACATATGGTGGAGGAACGTCACCGATCTCCAGCCAATTGCTTAAAGCAAGTTGTCCAAATTTACGCTTTAAATATATATTTATATATCCTGCACCAGCTACTTCATATTTATCAACAAGAGGGGATTCTTCCAACTTGGACATAATGTTGTTAGCCACATTGCGTGGAGCTACTTTATTACCTGCAATAATACACAATAATTATGTTTATAATATGTATGTATCCTATGTATATGTATAATATAATTTATATACATTTTATTGAATAAAATATTAAGAAATTTTTTTACCAGAACTATTCAATTGTTGTGCTAAAGGCATAGCACTATTACATTGATAATCTCCAAATTTGGAATTACTGCTGACAGTCACTATTATTGGTGGATTTAATACATCAGGATAAGCAGCAGTAATAGCCTTCCGAAAGATTTCACAAAGAGTATTATTTATACTGATTACATTGCTTTGAGATGTGTTAGACATTGCTGATGCTTTGTTTCTTTCTGCTTCTATAGTCTAGGAAAAATAATTAGAAAAACAAATATATATTAGAAATAAAGTTTTAAATAGAAATTCTCTCAATTACAACGATATGTAGAGTTTGGATAGCTACTGTCAGAAGCCGTGTTCCAGAAATCACTGCCAGAAAGAGAGAGAGAGAGAGAGAGAGAGAGAGAGAGTACTGGATATTTATAATATACATTACGTGAACTATAAATTTCCAGTACTGGCAGTGAATTTTGAAATTGTAAAAACTTACCCTTGTAAGTATTGCTATTCTATGCTTCAGCTTGATATTCTCTTGTTGTAATCTTTCAAATTCTTCCTTACTTACGTCGGAAACAATCTGCGAAGTATTATTCATGACATTCTGATACAACCATTCGATTTGTTGCTTTAAATGGACTATCTCTTCTTCCTGCAATATTGAATATGTACATAAGTTGTATAACCTCGCAGTGATCTGAATTAATCCGCGTAAATTTGTAACGGAATAACGTGGGGAATATTAAAAATAAATCGATAGAAGTATTTACCGCTGCGGTTGCTCGTTTCTCAAATATTTGCCAATTCGATATTATTTCTTTAATTACAGACATTATTTCTTTAACTTTTATCGAGAAGCAACCACGTGGTTAGTTTAAACAGGTACCGCTGGCACAAAACACCTTGCAAATCAAAAGAAGAACATATATGACAATGTATATATATGGAAGAACACGTACAATTTTTATAATTTTATTATTATTATATATTTAATTGTTTTTTAATTTTATGAAGATAGTCCAATTAGCGGATGTCATTTGAATCAAATTCTTTAATCAATTTAAAATTTTTTCTTATATAACTAAAAAAATGTCGAGATAAAAATCATTATTTATTCCAACTTTCAATTTTCTCTATCACAAATTAATCAAACTCAAAATTAAAATTTTATTAAAGTCTATCCTATCGGAAATTAAAACTCCATATTTTGTTATTCGTTTGACTCTCTAAAATTTTGTTCGCGAAATATTTTTCCTTTCAAGTATATATATATATTTTTTTTCTTTTTCTTTTTTTATATCTATCCAATATAATCTAAGGGGGGAGGGGTGGTCATGTTGTTCATTTTGTTCTTAATGACCGCGTTCAACAGAGAAAGCGCTCAGTTATCGTCTTGTCAACACTTGACGTTGATTCGTTGGTTCTAAAAATAAGAACCAATCACATTCGATTGCTACTAAGCGGTTTTCTCTGCTGAACGCGGCCAATCACTTCCCCTTTTGCATTTTGCTTTGCTATTATTTTATTTCCCGCACATAAAATAAAAATGTTGTGCGCATGATTAATATAAAGGGGAAATCCTATCCGTCAGTAGAGTAGTTTTGAATGACCAATCAGAGCAGAAGAAGCAAAGCTTTTTTTGTCCTGATTGGTCAATTAAATGTTACTCACTCTATCTAATGGGTAGGATGTCTGAATGCACCCTAAAATGATCATAGCAAAGTTGGAACGAAATTGGAAGCGAGATCGGAGTCCAGAAGAGATATAGAAATAAATTTAGAAAGTTTCTGGAAATAAAGATACGTAAGTACGCAAAATATATAATTTAATAGGATATTAATAAATAGTCTATAATTGCAAATAATGAAAAAATTTATATTATTTAATTTAATAATGATATTTGATTTTGAGACAAAAAGAAAGAGAAGGAAGGAAAAAAGAGAGGGAGAAAAAATCTTACTCGTAAACTATATATATATGAAAAATGCGGCGATAAACAGCAAAGATGTAGTAAAAATACGATACCGTTTTATATCAATCATTTATTTTCTCCATACAAATTATAAACATGTTTTTCAAATACTGTACATATATACTGAGTTCTATTATACTTTTAAACCTCTAATTTTAATGATATATCATTTTATTTATTTTCATTTACTCGTTAAAACAACTACTTTGATCCTCATTTCGTTTCATTTATGATAATATACAGGTAGATCTTATTTCCTTTTTTTTCCTCCAATCAATATCTTTTTATTCATCTTTACGATCATCAAGCTCAATTCTTTGATATGGCAGTTCCAGGATATGAATAAATTGAAGAATTCCAAATTTAAAAGCTGCAATTCCTCTAATTTGCCAATTAGTTAACTGGATTGTGTATTTGTTGCAGTTAATACTTTCATAGAGATAAAAGAAATAAATTTAATAAGAGAAATATGCAGTTTAAAATATAATTACGATTTTATATTGCTTTTTCATTATATGTAACAATAAAAACTTTAAGAAACACAAAATATTTTTAGTTATAAATTATTAAATATATATATTTACTCATCCATTTATATAACTTTTTGATTATAATAAAATTATAAAAAATATATTTCATAGAGTAAGAAATATGTATTTTCCATTTTTAGTAAAAAAAAAATTGCTTGATAATATATATAAATAGATAAATAAAATACAATTTGAGTAATTATTTTGTTTCTTAACTTTTGTATATAAATATAATTTATAATATGCACATATAACACTTCGTGATTTAACATTTAGTGCTGATTCAGATATACATGCCGAACAAAGATATGCTAATAAAAGTTGAACATCAAAATATATTTTCCTGTATTAAAATATCTGTAAGAAATCTGCAGAAATCATGATCTCTATGAAAATATTGATTTTTGCATACTGTTATTTCGAAATGTGAAACTGGATTGATAATGAGTTGAAAGCAAAAGTTTCTCTTTTGCGATAGCACTTGTTACAAAAATGTAACTGCTGGAACTTGAACAAATTTTCATGGTCTTTGTGTAAATATATACAAAGATATTTAACAAATTTGAATCAATCAATCGATCGTATCGTATATATTGTGTACAGTGCGAGTTATCTCTTTTTCTTCTTTTTCTTAATCTACTTCTGCATTTTGTATCTTTTTGTCGGGCCTCGATTTTCGATATCATCAATATAGACTGAAAGAGTACTATTTTCTATCTTCACAGAAGACATAGATAAATATATATTTTCATAATCTTTTCTTATAAATGTAATTCGCTTACTTTAAAATTATTACGCTTAAATGTCAATAATATTAGTGTCGGTGCTCCTTTTTTCCAATTTCAAATTCCTTTTTTTGAATTTTACAAAATAAAAATCTACACGACCAAATTTTTGTGAGTATCTTCCAAAGATATTGCGCAATTTTGGAAATAACAATACATTATTAAGCAATTCGATATATAACCACGAGACGCTGTCTTGTTCATTATAGATATGTAACATTGTAAAAACATTACATATATTATACATGTTATATTTATCGAAATGACTACAAATTGTAAAATAAAAAACTTTATTTTCAATAGACATTAAAACAAAATATTGCAAAAAAGAAGAACATCCATGTAAAGCGTGATCGTGGTTACAATTCCAGTTTGATATGCAAGCGATTCTGCAAAAAATCACAATTTATATTGTCAAAAGAATATAAGTAATAAAAAACGATATGAGATGAATTACTACTGGCTACTAGTGTTCATTTGATAAAAATATTATGAAGAATCACTCTCGAGAATCATACAAATGAATATATTGTCAAAAAGTAAAAAAAAGAGGGAGTTACTCTCTTATTTATTTTTTTATACTCTTATCTTTTTTTACTTCTGAGAGTTACTTTCAAATGAACACCAAGCTTATAAAAAAAAGAAAAAAAAACGGTAACAATAAGTAAAAGATATGTGAAAGCTGCCAGTTAAAAAAAAAAAGAAAAAAACATTCACGTATCAATTAAATATAAATTCCTTTCTACTCCAGTCAACCATATAGTAAATTCACTTTTCACCCCAAATAAAAAGCGACATATTTCTGACTAAAAGAGATCAAAATACATTGCCACTTGTTCCATAAAAGTTAATTAAAGTAAGAATACAGTAAATAATATTTTCTTAAAATATACACAATCTTTTCTTGCTTATATTTTACTGCTCGATAGGCAAGTTCTGTTTCAGAAACACACAACAGATTGGATTACAAAATAAGTAAAAATTTTCTGTGCATTTATACACATAATTATCTATATGAGAGATGCGATTAAATAAAGTCAGCTGCAGGGTATGGTCCTCTACTCGTTTAAACAATTGCCACTGAATTCATGAAAAATCTCTGTATGTAAGTTCTCTATGGTCCATGTATGTGAGAGAGACGCATAAATTATATTATTAAGTACGAAATATTTTTGCAGTATGGGGCATTGTCTTATCAATGCTCTGTAAAATACTTTTAACTTACAGAGATTTGCAGAATTGTATTGAAATCAGACAATCGAACAATATATTGTAATTCAAATATCAATGTTTCATGCCACTATAACAATTGTCAAACGTGTGTGTGTGTCTTATTTTACATTTTTCGAGATAGATTTCAATACACTCCTGGTGAAAAATGCCAAGGTCAGGTTTCAGAGAGATCTAAGTCCTTATCACATAGCTATATCCCATGATGGTGGCCTATTCTGCTATTTGTAATCGATGTAATCTGATATATCGCTTGGTAAATGTGTAGTAGAAAGATAAAAACAAATGAAGTACACTAAATAAGAAAAATCATTCATCAGTAAGAACTATAGAAAATGATCTTAAAATACAAAGTAAGGCGATTATAAGAAATACAAACACATCCCTCTAACCTAAGTGTCGCTGCCTAATCAGAGTGGGTGGATTTGCACATTAAAGTGCGTTTAAAAGATTGAATTTTTAAAATATATAAAAATGATCATCATCCTTCTTTTCTACCGATCATTAAAGGTTAATGATCGTTGCAGCAAACATTTTCACAATGATACTAATTCTTGCAAGAACAGTTTTGCAATAGAGCTTAAAGAAACACATTGTTGATGCACGATGTTTTGTTTTTCTTGTGTGTTTTTGATCTAATTCTGATAAAAACAATATAATCGTAGTGTAATTTATGGTACTTAAAAAGTCATAATGGCATATCTCTCGGTCAAACCTCCTTTCTTTAAAACTTAGAAATCACTTAGATAACTTTATACACGTTCATTTATAACAATGTAAATCGTAATCATTGCATTAATATTTAACATATATATTCTTATACATAATATATGTATATCTGTGTATGGATGTCTTGTCTCGCGATTCTCTATCATCTAATTTAATAATAAAACTATAATACTAAATCATGTTGGGGTACCATGCCTTTCCGAGATCAGAGTCTGTTTCTTTGTTTTCTTGCTCTTGTTGCATCGCTTATATCTCTTTACATAGTTTTATACCAAAATTTATTGTCGATTTTAACTTAATTTATTGTATCCCCTTTATTAAAATCTCGACGAATTCGCCGATTAAATGGATGATGTGCGATCATAAAATATATATGCGATATTTTTTTATATCTATTTTATTATAAAATTTATAACTGTAATATATCTTAAAGACATTGTCTCTAGCGCATCTGCAAGAATCTCTTCTTACAATATGTCACATAAATACTTAGAGACTTAATAAGTTATTAAAAGTATAAACTTTGAATCAAACTCAAGCTCGGGCTGGCCAGTACTCTATTGTACGTGTGTGTGTGTATATATATGTATATGTGTATGGGGTCCTTTTTAAGGAGTTTCAAGGAAAACGTTCGCAACATATTTTGTCTATCTTATTTTGCAGCATCACAAAAACACGCAAAAATTCCAGGGGATATAAAAATGAAATTTTTGTAGCATTTAAAATATCTATTACGTAATACTTTAGGTTCCTCATCTTTAATTAAATCTCTCAGCTTTAACTTTGTCCCTTAGCATTCACAACCGGTTTGTAAGCGACTGAAATATTGTTTGATTTTTGTTTGATCAAAACCCATTTTTCATTGGATAATATTTAAATTTACAAAAAAATTAACATGTTTATCATTAAAAAATTCGGATTATACTAGAGTATGTCTGAGTGCAGACAAAATTATACCATACCAATTTTTTAATTCATTCAGATCGTATATCGAGGATATATGTTCTATTTATAACATTCATTAGTTGCCCAATATTTACACTTGTTTATAGAATAACTTTTCTAACACCATCGATCGAATATTTTCCATAGAAACTCACCCAACTATGGACGCGAAAATATTTCTGTTTAAGTGTAAGCATGTTGTGTTATATCCATGTAATCACGCCATATATCGCGCGCGCAATGTACAATCGAATTTTTCTATTCTAAGTTTTTCTATTTTAATTTTTTCTTCTAAATGAGTTGTTTTTCTTTAAGTTAAATTTCCTCTCTTACCCTGCTTTCTCATTATATTACATTACATTTGTGTTAGAATGAGAAAGAGAGTGAAAGACAGAATGCATATTAGAATAAAAGAAATACTTGCTTCCAATGATCTTAGAATAGAGAAAATCGATTAGGATGTGTGTATATATTTTTATAGTGTTATTGTATGTGTGTGTGTGTGTGTGTATGTATATGTGTATATATACTTATGGATGATCTTTATGTGATGGTAGGCACTGATGGGGGTGGATGGCTGCATGGCGAGCAGGTTCAAGCAGGCTAATCTTGGACCAATCTGTATATGTGATGCTGAGCACCGTGTTCAGACGTCGATACTTCGAACACGTATGCTGTGCATAATAATGTTTCCTGCGTATCCCTGTTCGTGACAACCTGAGAAGGTAAGAGATAGAAAATGAGAAAAATATTGCCATCCATTTATTTTATAATTCTTATAACGTAAATTTAACTACTTATAACTCTGATTTTTTTTTTGTAAAACATATTTTATTTGATATAAAATCGAATATATATTACAAATAAATAGTTATAATACCCGAAAATCGTTGATTCCAATAGAATACTCTTTGTATTTTAATTGTAAAGAATTGTAAAATCAGAAACATTAATCTAAAATTAATAAGATTTGTGGGCGTATTTTGAAGTACGCGCAATTGGACTTAAAAAAAGTGAATAAATAAATATATAAATAAATGACCGGTTGAAAGAGACCACCATAAGATGACTTAGTATAAACGGTTTTAAATATCAATTTAAAGATATAAAGAATATATACTATATAAATTAACATGACGATAATGTCATCAACGCACCTGGAGGATGGTGAAGTTCTCGAGAACGCTGTTCATCATGTACTTCTCTGGCAGGTGCTTCAGTTTGTGGATGAAATTAATCATATACTCGCACATAGGTGAACGGCTAATACGATAAACGAACCTGCCATTTTCAAACCTGGCATACTCCGTTTCCACCTTTTCGACCACCTGCTTTCCAAATGAGCACACTTTCGTCGAACACGTTATCGTCATGTTCTCGTTGCTCTCGTACCTATCGCAATACAAAATACAATGCAAATATCACATCGGACTAGAGTCATATAAACGACGAAAAGGTATATGTTACTCACTGGCTCGTGACGCCATAGAATGCTCCAGCTTCGTCTTGGATGTTACTATTGAGATCAGCCCAAAACTTAACGAGAAAGAAAGCTGCCTGTGGTCCTTTGTCGTAAAGTTCTTTGAGACCACCCTTCTTTTCGGGGAATTTATCGTATATCTGCTTAACATCGACCGCTTCTAATAGCGGATCCGCGTAGGTTGCGGAACCCCCTATATGCACGAATAGGTGTTTGTGGTACTAGAAAAAAAAAGAGAGAGAAATTCAATCGTGTGATTGAGACGTTTATTATAATTCGGCTGTATCGTCATCAACTATCTGAAAACCTGAACGGCAGATATTTTATTGATATTGTAGTTGATCAAAGAAATGACTTTTGTGATGTAGAGAATCATCCTCTACTTTTAGTCTTTAATTTAATCATTTAGAATTAAGTTCTCCTAATTTCTAACTCTCATATTTTTTATCGGATGCCAATAAATCTTGAAAAAATAATTTCTTGAAAATACATATATAGCGCTTGCAGTTTGTATTTTTATGTCAAGGTATATAATTGGATTACTTCGAAATCTTTCCTAACTAATAGATCTTATTCTTCTTATATTACTAACTATGACTTAGGCATTACTCACAATGTCCTGGTCTCTTTGCTGCTCCATGTATGCCGAGAACTCGACAAGCCTGAGTTTGTGAGTCGCGATGGCGCGTCCTTCCCATGGCGGTGGAGGCTGTGCCTGGACTATGTCACCGCTCGAGACTGCCGTTGCCGGTTTCCCGGTGTAGGCAGGTTGAGGGAACGGCTTGACATCCTGGGACGTTCCAGGTTGTAGGCCTGGTTGCCAAAATTGCTGAAAATATTGCGAGTTTAGGCGATATGTTAATATCGTAATGATTAACAATCAGCCAATTTCTATGCGCTTGATGTGCATTAATAATGACTCGTTTATTGCTATTTCATTAATATAAAATAATTGATACGATAAGATCTATGAATATAGCAATATGATTATACTGTACTATAAAATCGCATTAATATTAATATAAAACAAATAAATTTAATATCGAGAACATAAAAAGCACAAAGAAATTGACGAATTTATTTCTCTTAAATTATTAAGAAAATTTAAACGTGTATTTTCAAGATTTTCTCGAATTAATAATTGCGTTAGATATATTATAATTTATATATAAAAAAATATGTATCATATAAACATTGTTTTTCTTATATTTTTTTATAATATTACATAAATAATACGATTAAATGTTTCGGTAACAAAAGAAAACTTCACAAAATTTTCTGATTTTCCGTAAGCCATCGAGCCGTCGGGCGAGGAACGAGCGATAGAAAACGAAATCAACGAACACAAGTAATAAAGAACAACAACAACACAACAACAACAAAATACTAATCATGTTATTATATAAAGAGAAAAAAAAAGACAGTTTGACAAGCTACAACGATATTTCTCGTTATGCACATATGCCCAATGTATACATACATATATGTATGTAAACATATAACGCGCGCGCGTGTGTGTGTGTGTGTGTGTGTGTGTGTGTGTGTGTGTGTGTATGAGAAACGCCTAGATGATAGGTATGTATAAGATGAGAGTGACGGACAAATTCAACAATACACAACAAGGGCCCCCAGGGGCAACGTAGCAGCAGCGGAGAGCCAGGGGGGTTTTGTCACTTTTGCGGGGGATGGTTAGTTTTTGACGCAAAAGCCTTAACGCGATGAAGAAAACAAAATTCGCAGTTGATGTTACAGAAACACATTTTTCTTCCGCCGTTTGTTCTTGCTCTTTCTTAATCAGAGATATGAAAAAAGCACGAAAGAACAAAACAAAAGCAAAAATATAATTAAAAAAGGGATGAGAAAGCTAACTTTTCCTTACCGCTTATAATCCATCAATATTATTTTTTTCTTCTCTTCTTTATGCAAAAGACAAGATAAAAACAACGCAGTCAAATCTGATTCAGAAATCCAAAAGAATTCAATTTCATATTTAAGACAAGGAGTTGTTAATTTCTCTTTTTGCAAACACGTACCGCGCATCAAAAGTAATTTCAATCTATTTAATGATGCTAAAAATTGTACATTATTATACAACAATGGCCTTATATGTAAGAGCTAATGTTGAATATTTTAATCGAGATCTTTTCAATGCACGCATGTAATTTCTATAAATGCAACGTTGTTAAGTCAGTACCATTCGCTATAATCCTTCTCTGGCGTATCAATTTAATATATGGTATTATCTCAAACTTTCGTGAAAAGCACAAAAAATTGATTGTCAATCGGCAAACCACGCGGTACTGATCGCCTTTAACTATTAAGCGAATTAGCAGTTATCGGATGAAGCGGTTAGAAACAAGTCATGAATTTCAAAATAAGAAGCTAAATCGGTAATACTGATAATAAAAATAAAATATCCTTAAAGACGACGAGACATTTTATGTCTTGTATTTTCATCTGTTAATGTATGAATGGTATCACTTAAATTCATAATAGTTTCCCCCCAAATGCATTATAGTATTTTAAAAATATATCATTTATTGAACACTGGTATCACGAAGTTGTTTCTGTCCTTTTTATTCGAATAAACAATAACTGTCATTTATATCAATTCTTTCGCCGCTAAATTCGCTTTTATGTTTTCATTAACAAATTAATCGTATCTTCTAAAAATTAAATATTTCGAAATTATCTTAAAAAATGTCCCTGAAACTCAGTTTCATGAAGTGAATTCAATTTCAGAGTTTCATGAAATGTAATAGAGATCTTTGATGACAATAATGAGCTTAACGCGTTTTCAGGGCTTAGTACATGAAAATCGATCCAAGAGAGAATACACTATTAAAAATAGTTCATACAATGAAGCAGAAGAAATCGAAATTACTTGTTTCACATAAAAGTGACTCTATCATGCAAAACCAGTATTACTGGTGATTAACTTAATTACTCTGTACTTCACGGCGTCTCGTCGTCTCACCGTAAAGCTCGTGGCTCTTTTGAAAAGAAAAAGACCGATGAAAAAAAAAAAAGAAAAAAAAGGTCTCAAGGGGTTCCTCTTTTCCGATATCAGGACTTACCGCTCCGGGATAGGAGACAGGGGTGGAAGCAAGGGCAAGGGGCCCCACGAGAGCGGGGGGCATCTTGTTGTGTATCGCACTTCCAGCTGATACTATCTGGGCGCTCGACATGCTCGACATTGTCTGGAGTGCCTTCTCCTTGGCGGCATGATCCTGACAAATTTTCAGACCGATTACCACGTTATGCCGGACGAAATAGTATCATATTATCGATATATCTGCTTGTATCTTTTTTTTTTTTTAATTCTAAGCACTACGTCGAAAAGTCGTCGAGACTAGATGGATTCTAGAATGATGCATTAATATAAGTTTTGCCTCAGAATTTACTAGAACAAATTTAAATAACAGAACAATCTGACATGATTTTTATCAAAAATATGTTTTGACGAAAGCCGGAAGGCAATTCCTTAATGCAATATCCTTGAAATTATAAATATTGTCAAAATTCTGAGAAAACAAAGCTTATTTTACGATAAGCTTTTCATTTTAAAATTATTTCTAAATAAAAAACAATTAATGTGTCGATAAATTGGTTAGGAATAAATTGATTTTAGATTGGTAAGAGAATATGTCATTTAAGTTTTAAGATATGATTATTTAAATTAATACAAAAGTTATATATTTTCTATAAAGTATAAAATATATAACAGAACATATAAATATGTATAATTAAAATAACAAATTTTTAATACAAGAATCAATTCATGTTTTTATATAAATATTTAACAGCGTATCCGATAAATTTTGGTACGCGTTTTTTTTTTTTATCGTTCACTTCGTGGAGGGACAAACGCGATGTCGATTGAAAAATCGGAGAATTCGCGACATTCGGCACTCGCGATATCAATCAACAGCCGGCAAATAAATTCGTAACATTCTCAATGATGCGAATCAATTTGCCGCTCTCGAACGCGCGATTACCAAGCACCCCTTTTTTTCTTCCCCCGCGATAATTTTTTTTTTTTTTTGTTTCTGTCCATCGCGCGTCGCGTCGCATCGTCCACGATGAAATCGATCGCGATCGCGCAATGCAGTTGATTGCAGAAACAACCGGCGGCGGGGCGAGTCCGGTTGCAACAGAAATTCGCGAGAATTCGGCGCGCTTTTATCGGAAAGCCGTCGTTTTAATCAGCGCCCGACCGAAAATCGCTGACGAGGCGAACGAGAGATGGTTCGTTGCCGTGACGTTCGGAAAATTGCCGTGCCCACCACCATCATCCAATCTCTCCTCACCGATTCACCTCCGCGCTTATTCATCTCACCCTCTCACCCCGTCCCCACGGGGATTTTCAATTTCGTTCATAAATCCGTAATGGAGGAGTCACTACGAGTGCCGGTCGACCGGAATGAAGCGCCGCCCGCGTAACGATGCGAGCAATAAAGAATTTAGCCGACGGTGCGACCGAAAATCACGGGTTGCATTTTGCTCTCGACGTTGTTTACGCCCCTCGCGTGTTCGCTTCGCAGCACACAAAGAGCTGCCGCCGTTCCTATTATTTACCGGTTTTTCGATCAATCCACAGGTGAATTTTATTTTAAAAAATTATCCATGCGTAAGACTATTGATAGTGCCTGATTAGGAAATAATTGAAAATAAAAGCCTCACTTCCGATTGAACTTGAAAATTTTAAATAAATAATATTAACTTTAGTTAATTTCATGTGAATTTTGCTTTAACAAAATTTTTACTTAGGACTAGCAATGTATAAAAGTTAAAGTTATATATCCTCAATTTAAAAATTGGGTAATGTTTAGTTTAATATCCATACGTTAAATAAGCATGCAATGAATTAAAAATGAGAAGCATTTAAAAGACGGGAAAGAAAGAATTAAAAATGAGATACGTTTAAAAGACCGTAAGAAAGAATTTGAATAAAAAAAGAAGTGCCTTGCGGGTATTTCAATAAACTTTACAGCTAATTAATTTAAAAAATTTCGTCGCGCGCGCGTATATATTTCCTATATAAACAATCAATCTCTATACGATTTCGCTATACTGGGAGTTTTTTTTTACAAGTACTTGTAGCGTACTATTTTTTAACCGGACTTATTACAATGAAGACAATTATTAGACAAGTCCGATAACGCATCTTTGCAATTAACGGGTTATTGTGCAACGATAGAGATTTTATTTTATTGAAAAGAATAAAAGATTTTAAAATTATATCTATGTTTTTATATATAACTTTCGTGATCTCCCAATTTTTATAAGTTTTTAAACTTATAAATTTGTTATTAAATTCGAATAGATAGCAACCTTGGATAAAATATTCAATTATTTTCTCTTAAGTTTCGGAAAAACATCATTATAACAGCATTATGCGCAATGCGCAATGCGCTTTCCAAAACCACACATACACATATACATACCGGATGTTCTTCCTAATTAGACTCTAATTTAATTTATTCTAATTTTTTAATTTTTATTTAAAATACATTTTTTTAATACAATCGATGCAACAAATTGGCAGATTAACCGTCCTGTAAGATCGATTTACAAAGCGGTTTTCGGCCGTGCGCGAATTTCGCCGGGTAGAATGCAATTTTTTATAAATGTTGGATGACATCGATTACCCGCGAAAAGTCCATTTTGCTGTACGGGCCGTTGCTCACGTTGTGCGGAGCGCGCGCTGAATTTGCAGCAGAAAATCAATTCGGTTAATTGAGAGGGTGCAGTCCGTGTCGCTTTTTTTAATTTCCACCCTTCGTCCCACACGCTGCCGCTTTTCTCTCTCTCTCTCTCTCTCTCTCTCTCTCTCTATGCCTCTTTCTCTCTGTCTCTCTCTCTGTCTCTTTCTCCCTCTCTCTCTCGCCCTTCATCTCTCGAATACACGCCAGGAATGCAGAGGATTGGGCGGGTAACGGGTTGGACATGTTTATCGACATTCTGAAACGCTGCCCGTTTTTGGGCACCCCCTCCGCGACCCCTTTCTACAACCGCTACAACCCCCGTCCACCGCCCCGTTATCGGGAGTACGTTTACACCGCAACAATTAATTACGCCGTAATGCCCGGTGCAATTATTTCCAAAATAGATAAAACGGTGGATGCGATCTCTCTCGATAAACTGTGATAGTCGGTATAACCTCGTTTGATGGGCGCGGTGCGTGTAAAATTCGCGAGCACAAAAGCTAAATCAAACCCGCGTAAAACGTATTACGCGTTGTTAACAAAATGAAAAGAAAATGACAAATGTGAATAAAATGATTAAAAGAAAATGACAAATGTGCTGGAAGAAATACAATAAAATTAAAATCGAAAACTTTGGGAATAATTATTCAAAGAGTGTAATATATTTTTATCGTGCGTTTAGCAGTGAATAAGAAAAGGGATTTAAGCATCGTTTAAAATTTTAATTCCTTTTCTTGTTTTTGTATTGCTGTTACGAAATCTGGCAGGTAAAAACACACGGATTTTAAAATTTATGAGATATAATGATGTGTCTCAATCATGAAAGAATATTTAAAAATTATTTCTAATTTAAAAAAATATCTAATTCAAAATATCTTTAAAATTAAATATCCTATATTTTAGGTATAATATAAAATTTTATGAAGAAAGATCACATATTGGAGAATCCTTGATTCAATGCTTCATGGGTTTATAATTTTGATTTAATTATGTAAGTTTCGAGATATAATTTCGTTTAAATCGATGTTGCCTCGTTTTAAAAGACGCAGAATACGAAATCAAGGAATACGATTTGCATGAAGACGATAGCGTTTGAAATGTCATAATACAAAACGTCAGTGTCTCACACTTGTGAGACATTTTTTCTCTTCCCGGACGAATAAATCGTGCAATCCGCAAGGGGGCAGCAACCCCCTTGAGCAACAAACAAAAGCCGCGGCGGGGCGTTCACCCTTCCTGAAAAGCGGAAACCAGAAAATTACGTCATGGCGGCCCGTACACCCCATCCGCTACTTTCCTGAATAATGTCCGCGGTATGCGGCTACTGCAGTTGCAGTTGCTGTTGCAGCTGCGGTTGACCATACTCTTAAAAACGGAAACCTACGCAAATATTTCATAAATGGCACCGCGTAGCACGGAACCGCGCGCGCGAGAACAGACGACATCTTATTACACGAATGTCGCATGTGTAATTAAAATTGTTCGAGGAACGCCGGCGTTTTCCTGAATTTTTTGTGGCTTTTAAAAGTCGCGGCGTACAATGAGACATATAAAAATAATAACAGGAATATAAAAAAAATTAAACATATATATTATCATATGCAGAATGAGTCGCGGCTACATCAAAATGTGTAAGATGAGCAGATTTATTTAAGCTTGAGACAAAAATCCTTACGGAAGAAAGAGTG